AGACTATAGACTAAACTATGGATTAAACTATAGACTAAGCTATAGTTTAAACTATAAATCAGACAATTGGCTTAACTTAAGACTAGAGTATAGGCTAAACTATGGAATAAACTATAGACTAGACTATATACAAAGCTATAGACTGGAATAAAGACTAGACTTTAGACTAGATTATAGACTAGAACATAGACTATATTATAAGCTAGATTAGTCTGTACTCTAGCTTATAGTCTGGTCGAAAATAAAGTCTAGTCTATGGTTTAGACTAGACTATAGACTGAACTATAGTCTATTATATAGTGTAGTCTTTAGTCTTTTCTTTAGTCTGGACTATAGTCTAGTCTATATTCTAGTCTGTAGTCTAGTATCTAGTTTATAATCTAGACTAGAGAATAGTTTATTGTATAGTCTAGTATAGGTAATAGTTTATTTAGTATATAGTTTTGTCTATAGTGTAATCTAGTCCATAGTAAATGTTAATGATATTGCTAAAGTTGTTATGAAATCGATTTGATTTGAATTGAACAATATAATTTAATTTAAAGAACGTTTGAAATGCCATTTTATATATTCAATTTTAAAAATCCACAATCAACATACAAACATAATGCAAAACTAAAGTTTATTTGTTTTTAAAATGAAAACTTTAAAAAAGAACGTAATTTAAATAAAATGAAAAACAAAAGAAAACTACTTAAAAATTGCAGAAAATAAAAACTAAATTTAAATATTTTATTACACTTATTATTATCGTAAATTAAGAAAAATATTAACAATTTAAAAAGAGAAAACAAAAGCAAAAGAAACAAATTTCAAAAACTACTAACTATAATTGTAACAATTTATTGTGATAGAAAAACTGATGATGATAATTTCGCTTAAAAATAAAATAAAAATTGAAACCAGTTAAAAACAAAAAAATAGATTAAAGAAACATTTTAAAATGTGTGTAACGGAAAAGATTGTAAAATATTATACTATTTACATTTCATTTAATTCAATAGAATTGTAAAAAAAAAAAACAAAAAATAAAATATAATAAATAAAAGAGTATATTGTGTAACAGTGACAAACAAAACAAATTATACCATGTGAAAGTAAAGAAAAGTCTATATTATCAGAAGTAAATTTAAAAAAATAAAATAAATCAAACTATATATTATTATTATTATTATTACAAACAAACAAATGCAAGAATGAAAACAACAATGATATAAAAGTAACACAAAAAACAAATACTATACATAAATAAAAATCAAAAGAAATATAAATCTATAAGAAATATACAATTTTTAAAGTTGTTTTATTCATAAGATAAAGATAAAATTTTCCTAAAGCGTTCTCTATTGGTCAGAAATATTTCGTATGGAAAATAAACAAAATCGGATTTTCTCGCTGCACCCCACTTTCCGAAATTAACTTTAAACACTTTAAGGGCTGACATACAAATATACAATGATGTTGTACAAACCTTTAAATCGGATCCAAAAAAAAAAAAAAAAAAAATTGTATAATTTTCAATTTATCACATACCCAAGTTCCCGTTTCTTTCGTGAACCATTGATCCGTCTACGACAACATTTCACTTTATTAAAATCGAACCAATCAATCCCGACTTTATCTATGTATATAATATACAATTTTAACGTTACTGACTAACTGACTGGTTTAACAGCGCACAGCATGTTTTTGGTACTTTATTAACTTATAAACTGGAAATTTGATTTCATTCAAACTCAATGAGCTAATTTTCGTTGAGTTTTCTATAATATTGAACTTTAAAACATAAAATTATTTGACTTTCGGTACATTTTTTGTTCTTCAAAAGGAGCCTTTTTAAATTTCCTATTATATTGAACCTAGAAACATGAGATTAAGCATGTTGTGCCCGGAGTACATGAGGGCCTACATTGGGGGACTTTTTGGAACTTTTGGAATGAAAATCATAAAATTAAGCATGTAGAGTCCGGCCATTTTTTGTTCTTCAAAGCGGGTCTTTTAAATTTTCTATAATATTGAACCTAGAAACATGAAATTAAGCATGTAGTGCCCGGAGTACATGAGAGCCTACATTGGGGGACTTTTTGGAACTTTTGGAATGAAAATCATAAAATTAAATATGTAGAGTCTAGTGTATACATAGTCTAGTCTATAGTCTAGTCTATAGTCTAGTCTATAGTCTAGTCTATAGTCTAGTCTATAGTCTAGTCTATAGTCTAGTCTATAGTCTAGTCTATAGTCTAGTCTATAGTCTAGTCTATAGTCTAGTCTATAGTCTAGTCTATAGTCTAGTCTATAGTCTAGTCTATAGTCTAGTCTATAGTCTAGTCTATAGTCTAGTCTATAGTCTAGTCTATAGTCTAGTCTATAGTCTAGTCTATAGTCTAGTCTATAGTCTATGTCTAGTCTATAGTCTAGTCTATAGTCTAGTCTATAGTCTAGTCTATAGTCTAGTCTATAGTCTAGTCTATAGTCTAGTCTATAGTCTAGTCTATAGTCTAGTCTATAGTCTAGTCTATAGTCTAGTCTATAGTCTAGTCTATAGTCTAGTCTATAGTCTAGTCTATAGTCTAGTCTATAGTCTAGTCTATAGTCTAGTCTATAGTCTAGTCTATAGTCTAGTCTATAGTCTAGTCTATAGTCTAGTCTATAGTCTAGTCTATAGTCTAGTCTATAGTCTAGTCTATAGTCTAGTCTATAGTCTAGTCTATAGTCTAGTCTATAGTCTAGTCTATAGTCTAGTCTATAGTCTAGTCTATAGTCTAGTCTATAGTCTAGTCTATAGTCTAGTCTATAGTCTAGTCTATAGTCTAGTCTATAGTCTAGTCTATAGTCTAGTCTATAGTCTAGTCTATAGTCTAGTCTATAGTCTAGTCTATAGTCTAGTCTATAGTCTAGTCTATAGTCTAGTCTATAGTCTAGTCTATAGTCTAGTCTATAGTCTAGTCTATAGTCTAGTCTATAGTCTAGTCTATAGTCTAGTCTATAGTCTAGTCTATAGTCTAGTCTATAGTCTAGTCTATAGTCTAGTCTATAGTCTAGTCTATAGTCTAGTCTATAGTCTAGTCTATAGTCTAGTCTATAGTCTAGTCTATAGTCTAGTCTATAGTCTAGTCTATAGTCTAGTCTATAGTCTAGTCTATAGTCTAGTCTATAGTCTAGTCTATAGTCTAGTCTATAGTCTAGTCTATAGTCTAGTCTATAGTCTAGTCTATAGTCTAGTCTATAGTCTAGTCTATAGTCTAGTCTATAGTCTAGTCTATAGTCTAGTAGTCTATAGTCTAGTCTATAGTCTAGTCTATAGTCTAGTCTATAGTCTAGTCTATAGTCTAGTCTATAGTCTAGTCTATAGTCTAGTCTATAGTCTAGTCTATAGTCTAGTCTATAGTCTAGTCTATAGTCTAGTCTATAGTCTAGTCTATAGTCTAGTCTATAGTCTAGTCTATAGTCTAGTCTATAGTCTAGTCTATAGTCTAGTCTATAGTCTAGTCTATAGTCTAGTCTATAGTCTAGTCTATAGTCTAGTCTATAGTCTAGTCTATAGTCTAGTCTATAGTCTAGTCTATAGTCTAGTCTATAGTCTAGTCTATAGTCTAGTCTATAGTCTAGTCTATAGTCTAGTCTAGTAGTCTAGTCTAGTCTATAGTCTAGTCTATAGTCTAGTCTATAGTCTAGTCTAGTCTATAGTCTAGTCTATAGTCTAGTCTATAGTCTAGTTTATAGTCTAGTCTATAGTCTAGTCTATAGTCTAGTCTATAGTCTAGTCTATAGTCTAGTCTATAGTCTAGTCTATAGTCTAGTCTATAGTCTAGTCTATAGTCTAGTCTATGGTCTAGACTATAGTCTAGTCTAGTCTATAGTCTAGTCTGTAGTAGCCTGTACTAGGATGCCTAGATAGAATTGTATGCAAACGAGACTATACGGACTATTAAATTGTGGCTGTCGAGAATGGGGCTGGAATTAACCGGCCACAAGACAGAAGCTGTTTTAATCAGTAGCCAAAGGAAAAAGGGGGTAATAAATATAAATGTCGGCAGATCAAACATCAAATCGTCTGCCTCTATTAAATATCTGTGATTGATGATTGATCAGACACTTAATTTTAAGGAACATATGGATTACACATGTAAAAAATCAGCAGCAATAAACAATGCCCTTAGCAGAATTACGCCAAACACTGGAGAGCCCCGACAAAATAGAAGAGCCTTAATATCTAGAGTAACATCATTTGTACTACTATATGGATCACCTATTTGGGTAGGATATATTGGAAGTACATCTCGTAAAAACGTACTTTCACTACTTCGACAATGTTGCCTTCGAATATGATGTGACTATAGAATCATTTCATTCGAAGAAATATACGAAATTAGTTGAATCTCAAAACATAGTTGAATTTCACATAATGGATTATATATATTATAACCTATATCTATGAATATTCCGATTCTATCCTAGAGTCTATTCTATAATATAGTATATATAGTCTTGTTGATAGTTCTGTCTATAGCCTGGCGGAAAATTAGTTTAGTACTTTAAAACCTAAAAAAGGACTTTTTATGTTATTTAAAGATTTTAATTTTCTATGCCACCCTAATGTACATATATTCACCAAATTCCTGCAGAAATATAGTCTATGCACCTAGAATTTCCATTATTCTCTGGTGCTACGTTTGAGCTCGTTTATATTAAATGTCCTTATACGGTCTTCTTAATATGTGGCCCATGCTAGATCTGCATCTTAATATACATTTTACTTGCGATATTGATAAGTAAAGCTCGGTATAAAGTTGTTTCTAACTGATTCGGACTTTGCAAACGCTTAGAAAGATTGTCAATTTTGTATGTAAAATAAAATATTCTTTTCCCTTTCTTCGACATATTGGAATTCTACTGTAAATCTAATAAACGTTGCTAAGGAAATAAAACTGTTATTTTATAAAAAGTACATCGATTTAATAACTTAACTGCACGTGCTTAAGAAAATAAATATTTACTCATATTTATCTTACAAAAAAGTAATGAATTTCTTATAAAATTATCTTACAATATAATCCCAAAATAATGAGTTCCACACCAAAATGGTATTGTCGCAATAAATCTCAACCGATGCACACATTTGTCGAATTGTGCAAATTGGGTGATGAGCTGAGACGTATAACGAAAAGATTGATAATTGATGTTAAAGTGGATATTTTCAATGAACATGTAAGTTGTTTTTTTCAACATTGTATTTTAACAAAAAATAATAATAATTGATTTTATAATTTTTTTCCAAGGATACTTTATTAGAAGAATGTGAACGCATTGTGGAGCTGTATTGGAGTTTAAAAGATCAATCTTCTAATAAAGATTTTCAATCTTTATCGAAGAAAATCAAACGTAGTCCTTATAATGCTTTGCTAATGAAAAAATTCAATTCTATAATGGAGCTAAATGACAGAAGATTTTGTCAATTGACTTTTGTGCTAAAGAGAACGGTGGGTTATTCAATCTATTTATTTTACTTCTTGGGCCTTGACCTATTTCATAATTACTTTGTTTATTTCTAGTTAAGTTTTCTTTTGAAGAAATCTATGCAATCGGAAATTTGGTTAAATTGGGCTTTACAAATAACTCAACTTTATAATAAATGTCGTCAACCGTTGGAGATCTGCGATGATGGCGAAACTAAGAAATCTTTGGATGAAGTTTTAAATTCAAATATTTGCAGCAATATGTATCCGGCTCTGCTATTGCCCTATAAATCTATTGACTTCGCTTATGTTTTACAGGTAGGCTTTCAATTTGCCCCTTTTTTCTAAAAAACAAAACTTTCAAAAGATTGTTATGGAGTTGAAGGACTTGAAAGTTCTTTGCTTCAAATTTCCGAAGATCTTTAAGAACAATTGTTGATCGAAAGCATTCGTTATTGAAGTTCCTTTGAGCTAGTTTTAAGTGAGACCTTAGAAATATGCGAAAGTTTTTAAAACTCATCAAATTTTTAATTTTTTTAATTAAAGTTTCCCGACCATTTCAAATAGGTAAACATATTGTGTTGTCGCCCTTTTATCATTTCAGCTAGCTGCTCAACAACGCATCGAACAAAACGCTCTCGATCTCATGTTTGGACTTTTTAATATGGGCGAACAGGAGGCGTGGCGTGAAAATAACGAATCAAATTGTTCCAGTATAGAAATATTACGTATTTTAACTTTAAATCTAACAACCGATGGAGATTTTCAACAATATATAAATGAAAGTCCAAGAGATTACTCGGCACTCAATTTGGATGCTGAAATGGCCAGAAATAATAATACAAAACGTGGCAGTACGGTGATTTTGCGCAGCAAACATATTGAAATGTTTCTGCAAAATGAGAGAAGTTTTGTGGCTCAATTCATTGAAAGGGCCTTTGATATATGCCCCACAATATTTGGTAAGTAAATGGACCAAGGCAAAGAATTATAACATTTTTAATCTAAAATCAGTTACGGGCACTAGCTAAATGCTCTCTCCTTCTCTTAAAACTTAAATATCTATTCCGAAATTTTAATGTATCTTTTTAGGTCATGCCACCCAAGAGGATTTGCATGAATTCGTTTTACGTGGCATGCGTTTAATGTGGTCCTATGTGGGCATTATACTGGATCATATTATACTATGGTGGATTGATACTCCGATATCTTGTTTTTCTTTAACATATGTGGATTCTATACGCAATTGGCTATTTATGCAAAATGTTAAAGGTAAAACTTTTATAGCTTATTTAATATTAGTATGTACTGCATTTTTGTACTTTTTACAGATATCCCCGAACCAGTTTATTCGACCTTACAAGGCATTGGTGAAATATTAACCAATTTCGTGTGTTCTAATTTGTGGGATCGTTTGTTTCGTCTGACTTTAATATCGGCCATGGCACAAGCTGAAACAATGGAGCAATTTATGGAACAAAATATGGTAGCAACAAATAATGTAAGTTAAATTTGTAGTGGTTTTATGATGCAACCCAGGGCTGAGATATTTAGAACTATGTTATATCTTCAGTCTAAAGGTTTAGTCTATAGTCTAGCCTACAGTCTAGTCCTTAGTCTAGTCTATAATCTAATCAAAGTCTATTTTATAGTTTGTAGTCTAATCTATAGTCAAGTGTAGTTTATGCTCTAGTCTATAGTCTAGTCTATAGTCTAGTCTATAGTCTAGTCTATAGTCTAGTCTATAGTCTAGTCTATAGTCTAGTCTATAATCTAGTCTATAGTCTAGTCTATAGTCTAGTCTATAATCTAGTCTATAGTCTAGTCTATAGTCTAGTCTATAGTCTAGTCTATAGTCTAGTCTATAGTCTAGTCTATAGTCTAGTCTATAGTCTAGTCTATAGTCTAGTCTATAGTCTAGTCTATAGTCTAGTCTATAGTCTAGTCTATAGTCTAGTCTATAGTCTAGTCTATAGTCTAGTCTATAGTCTAGTCTATAGTCTAGTCTATAGTCTAGTCTATAGTCTAGTCTATAGTCTAGTCTATAGTCTAGTCTATAGTCTAGTCTATAGTCTAGTCTATAGTCTAGTCTATAGTCTAGTCTATAGTCTAGTCTATAGTCTAGTCTATAGTCTAGTCTATAGTCTAGTCTATAGTCTAGTCTATAGTCTAGTCTATAGTCTAGTCTATAGTCTAGTCTATAGTCTAGTCTATATCTAGTCTATAGTCTAGTCTATAGTCTAGTCTATAGTCTAGTCTATAGTCTAGTCTATAGTCTAGTCTATAGTCTAGTCTATAGTCCTAGTCTATAGTCTAGTCTATAGTCTAGTCTATAGTCTAGTCTATAGTCTAGTCTATAGTCTAGTCTAGTCTAGTCTATAGTCTAGTCTATAGTCTAGTCTATAGTCTAGTCTATAGTCTAGTCTATAGTCCTAGTCTATAGTCTAGTCTATAGTCTAGTCTATAGTCTAGTCTATAGTCTAGTCTATAGTCTAGTCTATAGTCTAGTCTATAGTCTAGTCTATAGTCTAGTCTATAGTCTAGTCTATAGTCTAGTGTATAGTCTAGTCTATAGTCTAGTCTATAGTCTAGTCTATAGTCTAGTATAGTAGTCTAGTCTATAGTCTAGTCTATAGTCTAGTCTATAGTCTAGTCTATAGTCTAGTCTATAGTCTAGTCTATAGTCTAGTCTATAGTCTAGTCTATAGTCTAGTCTATAGTCTAGTCTATAGTCTAGTTATAGTCTAGTCTATAGTCTTGTCTATAGTCTAGTCTATAATCTAGTCTATAGTCTAGTCTATAATCTAGTCTATAGTCGAGTCTATAGTCGAGTCTATAGTCGAGTCTATAGTCGAGTCTATAGTCGAGTCTATAGTCGAGTCTATAGTCGAGTCTATAGTCGAGTCTATAGTCGAGTCTATAGTCGAGTCTATAGTCGAGTCTATAGTCGAGTCTATAGTCGAGTCTATAGTCGAGTCTATAGTCGAGTCTATAGTCGAGTCTATAGTCGAGTCTATAGTCGAGTCTATAGTCGAGTCTATAGTCGAGTCTATAGTCGAGTCTATAGTCGAGTCTATAGTCGAGTCTATAGTCGAGTCTATAGTCGAGTCTATAGTCGAGTCTATAGTCGAGTCTATAGTCGAGTCTATAGTCGAGTCTATAGTCGAGTCTATAGTCGAGTCTATAGTCGAGTCTATAGTCGAGTCTATAGTCGAGTCTAGTCGAGTCTATAGTCGAGTCTATAGTCGAGTCTATAGTCGAGTCTATAGTCGAGTCTATAGTCGAGTCTATAGTCGAGTCTATAGTCGAGTCTATAGTCCGAGTCTATAGTCGAGTCTATAGTCGAGTCTATAGTCTAGTCTATGTCTTATAGTCGAGTCTATAGTCGAGTCTATAGTCTAGTCTATAGTCTAGTCTATAGTCTAGTCTATAGTCTAGTCTATAGTCTAGTCTATAGTCTAGTCTATAGTCTAGTCTATAGTCTAGTCTATAGTCTAGTCTATAGTCTAGTCTATAGTCTAGTCTATAGTCTAGTCTATAGTCTAGTCTATAGTCTAGTCTATAGTCTAGTCTAGTCTAGTCTATAGTCTAGTCTATAGTCTAGTCTATAGTCTAGTCTATAGTCTAGTCTATAGTCTAGTCTATAGTCTAGTCTATAGTCTAGTCTATAGTCTAGTCTATAGTCTAGTCTATAGTCTATAGTCTAGTCTATAGTCTAGTCTATAGTCTAGTCTATAGTCTAGTCTATAGTCTAGTCTATAGTCTAGTCTATAGTCTAGTCTATAGTCTAGTCTATAGTCTAGTCTATAGTCTAGTCTATAGTCTAGTCTATAGTCTAGTCTATAGTCTAGTCTATAGTCTAGTCTATAGTCTAGTCTATAGTCTAGTCTATAGTCTAGTCCTATAGTCTAGTCTATAGTTCTAGTCTATAGTCTAGTCTATAGTCTAGTCTATAGTCTAGTCTATAGTCTAGTCTATAGTCTAGTCTATAGTCTAGTCTATAGTCTAGTCTATAGTCTAGTCTATAGTCTAGTCCTATAGTCTAGTCTATAGTCTAGTCTATAGTCTAGTCTATGTCTAGTCTATAGTCTAGTCTATAGTCTAGTCTATAGTCTAGTCTATAGTCTAGGTCTATAGTCTAGTCTATAGTCTAGTCTATAGTTCTGTCTATAGTCTAGTCTATAGTCTAGTCTATAGTCTGTCTATAGTCTTCTAGTCTAGTCTAGATCTAGTCTATAGTCTAGTCCTATAGTCTAGTCTATAGTCTAGTCTATAGTCTAGTCTATAGTCTAGTCTATAGTCTAGTCTATAGTCTAGTCTATAGTCTAGTCTATAGTCTAGTCTATAGTCTAGTCTATAGTCTAGTCTATAGTCTAGTCTATAGTCTAGTCTATAGTCTAGTCTATAGTCTAGTCTATAGTCTAGTCTATAGTCTAGTCTATAGTCTAGTCTATAGTCTAGTCTATAGTCTAGTCTATAGTCTAGTCTATAGTCTAGTCTAGTCTAGTCTATAGTCTAGTCTATAGTCTAGTCTATAGTCTAGTCTATAGTCTAGTCTATAGTCTAGTCTATAGTCTAGTCTAGTCGATAGTCTAGTCTATGGTCTAGTCTATAGTCTAGTCTATAGTCTAGTCTATAGTCTAGTCTATAGTCTAGTCATAGTCTAGTCTATAGTCTAGTCTATAGTCTATTCTATAGTCTAGTCTATAGTCTAGTCTATAGTCTAGTCTATAGTCTAGTCTATAGTCTAGTCTATAGTCTAGTCTATAGTCTAGTCTATAGTCTAGTCTATAGTCTAGTCTATAGTCTAGTCTATAGTCTAGTCTATAGTCTAGTCTATAGTCTAGTCTATAGTCTAGTCTATAGTCTAGTCTATAGTCTAGTCTATAGTCTAGTCTATAGTCTAGTCTATAGTCTTGTCTATAGTCTAGTCTATAGTCTAGTCTATAGTCTAGTCTATAGTCTAGTCTATAGTCTAGTCTATAGTCTAGTCTATAGTCTAGTCTATAGTCTAGTCTATAGTCTAGTCTATAGTCTAGTCTATAGTCTAGTCTATAGTCTAGTCTATAGTCTAGTCTATAGTCTAGTCTATAGTATAGTCTATAGTCTAGTCTATAGTCTAGTCTATAGTCTAGTCTATAGTCTAGTCTATAGTCGAGTCTATAGTCGAGTCTATAGTTGAGTCTATAGTCTAGTCCATATTCTAGTCTATAGTCTAGTCTATAGTCTAGTCTATAGTCTAGTCTATAGTCTAGTCTATAGTCTAGTCTATAGACTAGTCTATAGTCTAGTCTATAGTCTAGTCTATAGTCGAGTCTATAGTCGAGTCTATAGTCTAGTCTATAGTCTAGTCCATATTCTAGTCTATAGTCTAGTCTATAGTCTAGTCTATAGTCTAGTCTATAGTCTAGTCTATAGTCTAGTCTATAGTCTAGTCTATAGTCTAGTCTATAGTCTAGTCTATAGTCTAGTCTATAGTCTAGTCTATAGTCTAGTCTATAGTCTAGTCTATAGTCTAGTCTATAGTCTAGTCTATAGTCTAGTCTATAGTCTAGTTTATAGTCTAGTCTATTGCCTAGTCTATAGTCTAGTCTATAGTCTAGTCTATAGTCTAGTCTATAGTCTAGTCTATAGTCTAGTCTATAGTCTAGTCTATAGTCTAGTCTATAGTCTAGTCTATAGTCTAGTCTATAGTCTAGTCAATAGTCTAGTCTATAGTCTAGTCTATAGTCTAGTCTATAGTCTAGTCTATAGTCTAGTCTATAGTCTAGTCTATAGTCTAGTCTATAGTCTAGTCTATAGTCTAGTCTATAGTCTAGTCTATAGTCTAGTCTATAGTCTAGACTATAGTCTAGTCTATAGTCTAGTCTATAGTCTAGTCTATAGTCTAGTCTATAGTCTAGTCTATAGTCTAGTCTATAGTCTAGTCTATAGTCTAGTCTATAGTCTAGACTATAGTCTAGTCTATAGTCTAGTCTATAGTCTAGACTATAGTAGTCTATAGTCTAGTCTATAGTCTAGTCTATAGTCTAGTCTATAGTCTAGTCTATAGTCTAGTCTATAGTCTAGTCTATAGTCTAGTCTATAGTCTAGTCTATAGTCTAGTCTATAGTATGATCTATAGTCTAGTCTATAGTCTAGTCTATAGTCTAGTCTATAGTCTAGTCTATAGTCTAGTCTATAGTCTAGTCTATAGTCTAGTCTATAGTCTAGTCTATAGTCTAGTCTATAGTCTAGTCTATAGTCTAGTCTATAGTCTAGGCTATAGTCTAGTTATTGTTTAGTTTATAGTTTAGTGTGTTGTCCATTTTTTTTAAACCAATTAAAGTCTTTAAATCTCCTAAAATTAGTTATAAGTAAGAACGTCCCGATATTGCGCGTATCCTATTGGGCTGTAGGTATTTTTTGTGTTCTTTCAATGTGGGAGACTTTTTCTTCCTTGTTACAATGCAGTGGAAATTTGGTAAATTAATTTGGAATATAATTTTTAAATTGTCTTTTATAATTTAATTTCTTATAGCAATTTGGTACACCAACCGGTACTGTTTGGATTTCCATTTTTAACAATTTAATAAATTTAAGCAATAGTTATTTTCATAACGCGGACATTAGCAATTCGAGCTTGGTACCAGTGGCCGAACAAATCCCCATACTACATAGAATAGGTAAGTTTTATAGATATTTTCTATATAATTGTAAAAATAATTTCCAGTTAAAATTTCCTTACAGATCATTCAGTTCATAGCATGCGTTTGTGGGTTAAAGAAGAAGCGAAACAATTGTGTAATGAATGGAAAATGAATCGTTTCTTTCAGATTTTAGAAAGTGATGTTAAATTGTGTCTGAATGCATTTCTAAATTTTAAACTGCCAAAATTAACTGCCGATTTAACAGATATTTTAATGTTGGTTTGTGTTGCCCTTAGAACGAAATTGATTTGTGAAATTAATGTTAACATAGATAAGTTAAAGGTGGTTAATTAAATTACAAAAATTACCCTACATTATGTATTAAAATTATTTAATTTCAGAAAACCACTGATGAGTGTGTTCAAGTTCTCTCCGATGTTTGCCGTCTCGTAAGCATGGCCAATTTTACTCTTTGCTTCCCTTCTGCCTCGTACTGGCAAAAGAATTCGTTTGATAATGAAAAATCTAGTGAATATGTTGGCTATATACTAGATCAAATATATTTACCCTGCATTAAGGCCACCAAAGATGTGGTCATTTTAAAGTTAATTTTGAAAATCATTTGCGAAGCTTGGCTGGACTTTATCTATCAACGTCACATACGTTTTAGTGTAAATGGAGCTGTACGTCTGCTTAATGATTTCGATGATGTACGAGAATGGATATTGAGTTGTCCTCTATTGGAACAGCATCATTTGGATAAGTTGAGTAATCATGAGGTGTTGAGAATGTGTAAGGGTGTGGGTAAGATATTGTTGCGTAAACCCGAAGATGTTATATCGATTACACAAACACCGAAGTATGATAAAAAAACGGGTGAGTGTGGTGGGGAATATTTAATATATTACAGATATTTAAATGGGGATTTGTTTGGTTTCTTCAATATAGCTGATTCAGATGCAGCTCCCCAGGAGACTCAACTACCATCGGAAATGTTTGTGTCCAATCAAAAACATTGGCTTCAGTTACGTGCCAACAAATCAACATTTTTCTTTTTTCCTTTATGTTGTGGTGATACAAATTAAGTTGTTGCAGCATGGAAATTGTGGTTCTAGTAAAGTTGAGCTTTGGGTGTTACACACTTTAATTTAATTTGGTTTTAAACTTTTGAGTATAATTTTATAAATTTAAAATTTCAAGTATTACATCGTTTTCTGTCGTATTTCTGAAATTCGGGTTCTTTTTATTACACCCTGCCTAATAAGTATGTCCGTATGTTTATAGGAATCAATTTTCTGCAGGCCAAAGATCTGTATTGGATCCGAGAGATCAATACTACATCTCATCATCATAGTCAAATAAGTGAGCTCAGTATGACAGTTCGTTTGACATTTAACCTTTTTGTAAGTTCTTTGGACTTAAAAAACCTTTTCTAGGTATTTCTTTTCTCATAGCGAATCACAATTTGGTGATAGAACATCGGGTCCATCGATGACCGATTTTTAAGATAACTTTCTAGCGTGGTTCAAACGTCAATCTATTCATGATGATTTCACAGAGTATACTGATCATAAATGCCAAAAAAGTGACACAGTAAGAGGCCAATTGACAAACCACAACTTGACGATAAGACAGAGATAACCGATTTTTTAGATAACTTTGAGCGTTGTTAAAACATCAATCTATTCGTGATGATTTCACAGAGTATACTGTTCATCAATGTTCTGCCGGGGGCATGTTATCTTGGTGAAATCTCCACCTTGGTGTTATTGCAATATCTTGGGGAAAAGAGGTGCTATCAATACTTCTAGTCTGGTGGGACTATAAACTGGTGATGATCAAATGTATCCTCGGCCTTTCCTTGGAATGATTTTCAGACTACCAAATACGTCTCTAGGTGCTGTTGCCGAATCAACCGAGCCATCTCAGTAGTGTGGTTGCGCGGGCACACTGTACTTGAATGGGTCATTAGTTGATGGGGATTGCATTTTAAATAATGCAATCTTTCATGACATCATAAAGGTGGTCACCTTCCGGTATACCGGAAGATTGATTTCATCTGATGTTGGGGTTGTCGCCCCTTCTATTGACTTTAGACCAGTGATTGCCTTTTCCTTGTCGAGGTATGCCTTGGGATTGATCCTATGCTGCCTGTCATTCCGCAACAGGGCTACTATGGCAAGAGATTATATAGCTCGAGTACTTCAGCAAAGTGCTCGTACTTGAACCGGCTCAGCCATGTACAAAAATTGCCTCCTGAGTTCTTCATAGACGGATTCAGGGGCGCGTGGTAGACCATCTCAAGTCTACCCAGTAGATGAAAAAGACCACCGCGAAATAAGGCCGTCAAAGCAGGTGTTCACGTAAAGCACTCGACAATCTTGTTCATCAATGTCAAAAAAGTGAAAGCAGTATGGCAGTTCTTTTGACAATTAACCCTTTCATAAGTTCTTTTGGACTTAAACAACTTTTTCTATATCAAAATAAAAGTATTTCGGGGAATTTTTATTTTATATACATTCATGGTTTCATCTTAAACTAGTGACGCCACTTGCCTCCTCAGGATGTAATCGAGAGGTGTCAAATATTTTTTCATCGCTGATCACAATTTGGCGATACAACAGCGGGTCCATCGATGACAGATTTTCAAAATAACTTTAGATATTTTAGTAGCGTCAATCAAATGTCAATCTATTCTTGATGATTTCACAGAGTATACAGAGAGCGCAGTATGACAGTTCGTTTGACAATTAACCCTTTCGTAAAAGTTCTTTTGGTCTTAAAAAATATTTTTAAAATTTTTTTATTTTTCATAATATTTATTTTAGTACTTTGGTAAAATTTATTATAATGTATTTTGTTTATATATATAAAAAATTTATTTGTGCATAATAATATTTGTGATAAAATCATAAAACTTATATTTATTAAATATTAAAAAATTTAACATTTTTTATTGAGATTTGTTGCTGTTGTTGTTAATATTATTAAAATATATTTACGCATTAAGCGGGTACTTTACGACTAATAATATTAATTAAATCATCAACACGTTCACTTTTACCGGCAAATTGTTTTGGATGTGGTCCAATCATTTGTATAATGGCGGCAACATCAGGTGAGACCTTTAGAAGAATCAAAGAAAAAGACAAAGGCAAGTTAATATTATATCAAAAATACATTATAAAACATTAAAGAATAATTAAAATTTATATATTTTGTGTCCGTTGTATTGATATCTATAAAAATATTCTACATTTTCGAAAATATCTTTTGACAACTGGTTAAATCAAACGACTTCTGGAAATTGATTCGGATTGATTGATTACAGTTCAGTGAATTATAACAAAACGTGAAAAAACGTCAACACTTCTGGGACAAGTAACAGGACCCATCTATGTAGACATAGTACTACAACCCCACTCTACTTTCAAACAACCAATATCGGGACTATAGTTTCTTGACAATTGCTTGATAGATGAGGAAAATTGATTCAAATTATAAATCTTATAAAGCTTCAATTACCCAACTTCATCATAGGTCTTGTCATATTAAACTGTCTGAGGGCCTTTACATAAACCGATGCCTTAAAACTTACCTCTAAAAATCTAGCCAATGCCTTGCAGCAACGGAAAATTTGATCTTCATTTGGGCTGCTTTGGAAGAATTGTAAAATGGCCATTGTCAATTCAACGGCAACATCATCAAAGACCTGGAAAATAAAAAAAAATCAAGTTAAAAATATATTTCCGAAATAATGAAACCCCATACTTACCACAGTCTTAACTTCTTTAATGGCCACATTGTACAGAATCATAGAACCAATATTTTTCAAAACCGGACAACTGGACAGAATACAATGGACAGCAACTTTGGTAGTGACACGAATATTCGATAAAGTCTGACCATTATAATCCCATTCGGAAATATATAAAAGCCATTCTGAAGGACTAACATTTTCAAAAAGATTGCACATCTAGTAAACAAAGAAAAATATACAATTGTATAAGATATTTTACTTAGCAATTCCCTTCTAATAACTTACAAACATGGCCCAAGCTTGTTGTTCCTCTGGTGTTTGCTTTTCAATATCAAAACCATAATTCATAAGAGTGTGATCGCGACGATCTTGATGTAAGATAATAATGACATCATCTTTAAGGGCGGCAAATGCCAATGTACGTATCAAATGTATCCGTGTATCGGGCGAAAAGGATTGTTCTCGTAAAACTCTCTGAACAAAGACCAAAAAGTTATCGCCCAAAGCCCATGAGCCCTCATCTTCAATTAAATACTGATGCAATTCTTCAATGGATACTTCTTCCTCTTTGTATATTTTACCATCTAACAATTTAACAAGGCATTCCAATTCAGTCTTAATCTGTAAAGGAAAATGGAAATGTGGTTAATTTTCGTCTGAAACTATGACTTATGGTGCGGTAATGATCTCCACGCAACATACGGTACATTTTCTGAATTTAATCTAGTCTATAATCTAGTCTATAGTCTAGTCTATAGTCTAGTCTATAGTCTAGTCTATAGTCTAGTCTATAGTCTAGTCTATAGTCTAGTCTATAGTCTAGTCTATAGTCTAGTCTATATAGTCTAGTCTATAGTCTAGTCTATATAGTCTAGTCTATAGTCTAGTCTATAGTCTAGTCTATAGTCTAGTCTATAGTCTAGTCTATAGTCTAGTCTATAGTCTAGTCTATAGTCTAGTCTATAGTCTAGTCTATAGTCTAGTCTATAGTCTAGTCTATAGTCTAGTCTAGTCTAGTCTATAGTCTAGTCTATAGTCTAGTCTATAGTCTAGTCTATAGTCTAGTCTATAGTCTAGTCTATAGTCTAGTCTATAGTCTAGTCTATAGTCTAGTCTATAGTCTAGTCTATAGTCTAGTCTATAGTCTAGTCTATAGTCTAGTCTATAGTCTAGTCTATAGTCTAGTCTATAGTCTAGTCTATAGTCTAGTCTATAGTCTATTCTATAGTCTAGTCTATAGTTTAGTCTAAAGTATAGTCTATAGTCTAGTCTATAGTCTAGTCTATAGTCTAGTCTATAGTCTAGTCTATAGTCTAGTCTATAGTCTAGTCTATAGTCTAGTCTTTAGTCTAGTCTATAGTCTAGTCTATAGTCAAGTTTATAGTCTAGTCTATAGTCTAGTCTATAGTCTAGTCTATAGTCTAGTCTAGTCAATAGTCCAGTCTACAGTGTAGTCTAGTCTATAGTCTGGTCTATAGTCTAGTCTATAGTCTAGTCAATAGTCTAGTGTATAGTCTACTCTATAGTTCAGTCTATAGTCTAGTCTATAGTCAACTGTATATTCTAGTCTATAGTTTAATCTAGTCTATAGTCGAGTCTATATTCTAGTCTATAGTCAAGTATGATTGTACTAGAGCTGCTCTAAAGAAGTTCTCTAAGGCTTCCCTAGAACTAGTTTCAAGGACGAAAAATTCGAACTAAAATCATTGATTAAAGAAGAAAATTTTAAATTTCAGAAATATAGATAAACATTACTATAATTTTTCAAATTCAGAAATATAGATTTTTGAAGTTTTATTAGGAATTAAATTATGGATCGAAAATATAATGGAAAACTGTTTAGTTCCGTTCTTCTGTAGTTGGGGATGTTTCGAGTTTAGAAACAAATTTATACTCAATCTGATTATTTTTAATTTTCCTAACCTATTTATTACATTTTCCATTATATCGGCCAACGATTTTATTATTTTTAAATAAATATTAATTATGTATAAATAAATTTGGGTCCATTCACTTATTCTACCTTTGTCACTTACATTAATGTCTTTGCACACAAGTGCTGGTTCACGTGGTATCTCCTTCTCCTCTGTTGATTTGGAACGTTCTTTACCATTTTGTGGGGGAGATTGTTGTTGTTGTTGTGTTACCGCCGCTGTTTCATTATTTGCATCTGACATATTTGTGGGTATTTGATCTAAAAATATTTAAAAGAAAAACATCATCGTCATTATTGCCATCAACGATTTTCTTTATTCAAATTATTTTTGTCATTAAAAATATGAAAAAAACAACAGGAAAATTTTGTATTTATTTTTCTTTTGTAAACAAAATTGTCGTCTTAAAAATTAACAAAATTGTTAATAATTTATTTGCATTCATATGAATTTACATCCGTTTGTATGTATGTATATTATGGGTGGATGTATTTTAAGGGGAGTGATACTTTTGGATAAAAGATCTGTTTTGTAGTTTCCATATAATATATATTTTGGAAATTTCGGTTGCAATGGAAGTTTTTTGTAATACGCTTTTAAATATTTCATTGTGGAATTTTGAATAAAGTGCAAAAAATACCTTTATTTGGCAAAATTGAAAAAATTATTCATGGGACCTCCCTAATTTACATATATTTGAATTTTAAGTGTTTATTTTTTCAAATTTAAATCGTGTGCAATAAAATGGCACATTTATATTACATGTGCCTAAAAATTATACATTATATTTTTATATAAAAATCAATTTTGTTTAAAATATTATTCATAAACAAAAGTTTTGTTAACCTAAATATTGAATGGTTTTCAAAATTCTTGTCGAGTTTCTTTTGAAAATAAACAAAATATTTTGGAATAAAATACATTTTCAAACAAGTCAAAATTATCCAAAATATGTACATATGTACAAATGGAGATCGGAAAATATGGGATTTTGCATTAACAATTAAAAGTTAATGAACTTAAGTAATATGTATATTTTATTTTTTTAGATACATAGGTATGTATGTTTTTATTTCAAAATGACGTACTTAGTATACATGTGTCCCTTTCAAAAACTT